GTGGCTGATCTTTGACCTGATGGGAGTCGACCACGAGTGGATGACGAAGCCTCCTGGGGAGTGGGAAGGTCACGAGGCGTACATCCTATGCAAGGAATTCGTGAAAACAGTGAAAGTCGTGAACCGCGGAGAGGGGCATCGCTCTTCTGAAAACATTCGCTCAGCATGTGAAGGGGCAGGACCAATTCCCGTGACTTCTGCAGGCTGTGGAGAGGCACAGGCGTGCAGTGCCACACATGACAAAGGCAGCCCTGGCTACCCTGTGACTGGGTTCGATGAGAAACGGTGTTGAGGCCCGGTACCGAAATACATGTTTTGCCGTCACTGACGTACCAGTGTTTTGCTTACTGTTAAGTTGTCGTGTCCTGAATAATGAGTTATGTCTGTGTAGTGTGTATGTTAATCTGAGCACCAGAATATGCGACGACACTTTTATGGAAGCGCAGGTACCATATTCAACCTTCACAGTGTCATAAAATACCGGTTAATACCACCTCTTGCACGGCCGTATTTTCTTGGTGTTAGTGCCCTACTTGCAATTGCTCTAACAAGGGTGACTTCAACGCCGAACGGCACAAAAATTGAAAACTTTGGCGAATTATCGCGACGTTTAGAATCGAGTTTAAAATCGAATAATTGCCACCAAATTTTATTAAAAAGATGAAATAATGGGAATCCGATCGAGGAGAGACAATCTGAGAAAAAAAGTGAAAAGTGAAACACCCTATTGCTGCAGACTTTAGCGTACTAAATGTCTCAGTAAGATATAGGTCAGCAATGCAAAATTAAACGGACTGAGGGGACTCGCAAGGCCTGCATTTCTAACCATACCGTACCGTACCTATTATAGGTCACGGTAGCCAACGCACACTTGCGTCCCCGCACATCGGAACATCTGTGGGATCATTGATTGTCGGGCTTGGCCCAGTTTCTGACGGGACGTCTGTGTTAGATAATGTAGGACTGAGCCAAGCTGTGCGCCCGAGCATGGCACCGCTAGGGTCTGTGACCCAGCTGCGGTTTTATATGTTTGGGACGTAGAGGACACTGGTTTGCTTGGCTGGTTACTCATAAGGTCATCTTGGGAAGCTCCTGAAGTGACACCGTAGCATAACATTGCTGTGGAATTGTATGCATTTTTGACTAAATGATGTGTTCACTTTTTACTGTAATAGTTGAATACTAAGTTGAACTTCGAAGATAGGATAGGAAGCCTAAAATTTAGAATTGCTGAATAAATGTTGAGCATTCGATTGCCCTTTACCATTGGGTGAACATTTAACAAAAGCGATCGAGAGCTTCATACTTCATAGTAACCTAGGGCGTTGATAGTAACTAGCTATATGACATGAGTAATGGGTATTCATTATGCATGCCAATTACGTCTTTCAAACTGCTCAGTCAAGCGCAACACAAGCAATAATTATGTCTGGAATTTTCAAATTTACAAAAATCCGGAAATAACTATAGTTTTGTAATTCAATTTTCTTTCATTACGTTCAAAACGTGACTGTAACATTTGTTTGGTAACAACAAAGGTTCAGCGCCGGGGAACGAAGCCTTCGCTGACATTCACGGCCCGTCGCCTCAGCCAAAGACCATCCACGCCTGGTAGCGCCGTTGCGTGCAGAGAATGACAAAGTTGGCACAAGAATAAACTCAAGCTAGCGGTCTGGTAGAAGCGCAAAGACACGGAAACTAGGTCAGCAGGTCACAGTTAAAGAACACGTTAACGTCATCGGTGGGATGACACCGAGGGACTCCATAGCGTGCTGTGAACTGCTACTTCTCACGCTGAACGCTGTCGTGTTACGACTAAGCTGACCGCTACGCTCAGGCTAAGCCACTCGCAGTACAAGCTTAGACATCATTTGACGTCATACCCATCCTCTAGACCCTGCGTCTGACGTCATACCTGGCCCGACCCTGACGTCATACCGTTCCCGGAACTGACCCGCTCGATGCTGACAATGTCCGGCAGTTTGACGAGCTGCTGAAGACTCTTGGGCGGCTGTTCCACGCAGAAGAGGGCCGCCTCCGTCACTACAGCCGTCTGCATGTTCTGGACCGTCTTCCCGCGCCGGAGGATGCACGGCTCGTAGTACCTGCGACACCGGTGCGATGACAGTTATCCGCCCACCTCCCCGTGCAAGAAGGCTAGCTTTCCCACCTGCACCGCATCCTTCAACAGTACTCTAACGGTAGTCACCTCTTAGCTGGCCCATGTACCCCAACGACAGTCATTCTCTCGCCCCTGCGAGAACAAAGCCCTATTGGGCGGCACTGCCATTCCATTAGTAGGCGGGAGTGTGTTCCTAATGGTTTGGTCAATGTCAGAAGCGCACCAATGGATCTTACGCCATGCCACTTAACCATTGTTTTATTCATTACATGTAACATCAACATTGACCAATGGCCTGTCTTCTCACCAAAGTTCCACTCAAACTAATGGTCTGTAAAATAATGACAATGTGACCGCGGAGGGGCATGCCGCGCCCCACGGCCGGTTTGGTTGTTCCCCGTGTTGCGAGGTGCGTTCGTCAGCCGAGCCGAGTTGATTAGACTACGACAATAAGGCCGGCGACGGGAGCGGCGGCGGGTCAGCCGGGCGGCCGGCCGTCCTGCTGGCCCAATATTCTCGGCCCGGTCGATAGGGTCGGTCGGCCGCCCGACGTCGCCGCCGTGCCCGTCCGGCCGGCACGAGCGGCACGAACAGCCTCCGCCGCGACATCCTCCAACGATCCGAAATTATCCCAGGTGGTCTATTTATATCAAAAGGGCAATTGATTTCCAAGGGTGATGCAAATTTTCAGAATGCAATAAGCCGAGCTTAGCTTTTCCACTATTCAGTAAACATTGCCAATAACTATTTCCTTAGCGTTGTCTTTCATTAGTAAGTAAAAACACCTTTCCGCTACTCAACAGGGCTCACTTTTTCACATTCAAGAACTTGTTTTTTCTTGAATTTATAATATGTACTTTGCGAGTGCGATCGAGAAGCTTATTTGATAAGGTGATGCACTCTGAACCATGAGAGCATGCACGATCACAACTGTCCCAAACTGAGTGAAAATGTGGGGTCGATCCTAGCCACTGACGACTTTGGAAACTGGGGCGCATTAATTCAAAACGCGTTAGTCAGTATGCCATTTTAACAGTGCTTCATAATAGCTCGTTTTAACGTGCACCAATATCGACATTGTGCCGTATTTGATCAAGCGGTGTGACGGCTAATCACTTTCGTTGATTGTCTCGGATCTTTCCCGGGGTAATGCAATTTCGAATCGAACAATGTTCTTTGGTACAGGCTAATATACCTACCTATGCAGGCTGTAGGTGGTAGGGTTAATATAAATCTAATGCACGTAAGCCTCAAGATATGACTAAACAAGCAGCGCGCCCTACATTGTAGGTTTAAAGCATGCGTGACATATGACGAAGAGCGATAGGCTAACTTCCACCATAGATGCATGTCAGATATCTTTTTCCAGCCGACCTTGACCGAGCGTCCCCAATAGGCGCGTCCCAAATCAGTCATAACACAAACTAGAAACCGTTGCCGTATATGTGTCGCAATTCAATGTGCTCTGCAGCAATGCTCTACACCAATTCTCAGAGTCTACGGAAAATATTGAAATCCTCGTACCACTGTGTGAAGTAGGGAGCGTTAAATGAAGTCCTTTTAGAAAACTTACACATTCCTAAGACGGACACCCAAGCGGCATCCACTATCAAGCACAAGTGAACCGACCTGATGGACTCGTAACAGGCGGGCGTCATCTTCCTGAGCAGGAAGCTCTCGAGGCGGCTGTTCTTTTTCTGTCCGTCGCCGTGGCCATCCATGGCGGCTGCTGTAGACGCCCGGCGCTGGCCGGCCGGCCCCGACCCGGCGACCTGTCCCACTGAGCCCCGGTCGGCGGTCACCCAGGTGTGCTGCCACGCAGGGGGCCTCGTCGGCGCCGGCGCAGGGCCACGGCCCGGGCCGAGCAGGCAGCCGAATAGGCAGTCGAACGAACAGCCGAACAGACAGCCGAATCGTCAGCTAGGACGCATGTCTCTCTCCCCCTTTTTCTCTTTCTCTCTACCTCTTTCTTTTTCTGTCCTTCTCTCTCCCTCCCTCTTTCTCTATCCCTCTGTCCTGCTTGCTGAATGTTTTTAACAATCGCTGTCACACGCTTCCTTTCTGTCGCTCCCTCCAAAATACCCTAAATTAACAAAAACAATGTTCTGTATGGCCTATTCGAATATAAAGCGTTCCGCTGCTAAGTACTTGGGACTGTGCTTTTTATAAGTATACTAATTTTGCGACAATAAAAAAACGGACTCCAAACGGGATACTATTTACATTCAAATCAAAAGAGATGGATATAACCTGTGTGATTGAGCTATGTGGCTCCACCCCCCCCCCCCAAACTGCCCCTGGACAGTCGCAGATGGAGACGAATCAAGCACATATAATTACGAATTATCATTCCAAAAACCGCAGTAGTATTCCATCAAGCGAAAGCTGAGAGGAATACTAGACAAACTAACCGTCCTCCGTGACTGTCAAAGATAAAACAATATCGGCAAACAATATTCTACCCGTCCTGCATCAGAATTAGATCACCTATGGTCGATGGGCTGCCGGATGAGAAAGGCAATCCATTTCCATGGAAAGTTCACATCGGCCATCAATTAATTAACTAGACAGGAGTGGCTGCTGCGCTCCAAAGCATCATAAGGTGCATGGCAGGAACTATCGATAATTTATTAGGGAGCATAATGGATTGTTTAGTGTTCTTCTGCGTCCCACTGGCTCCCTCGCGTGTATTGTGCGTGTCTCAACTATCGCAATAGGCTCGATTTTCTTTATCTTTACCCAATGCAAGTTGGATGCATGTTGATGATGACGTGCGGCGCATATGCTTCTCAGGAATCTCAAGAACAATTACGAACTATGTGTATCATACGCCTTGGCCTCATCCCACTCACTTCGCTGTAAATGGCGCTGGACTATCGTGAATTAATTTTATTGTGACACTCAATAATCACATTATCCAATTCGAACATGTTACAGGTGAAAGAATGGTCAGGCTTGCTTTTGTCAGCATAGCGATGTTTCAGACGTGTCGCGTTTTATTTGTGTGAAACAGCGAAGTAATCTTTGCTCTTGTCTGTGTCGGGATTCACGCCTTTGTCTCCCGGTTTCCATCCAACAGGGCACACTGAAAACAGAAACACATCGTTAAGAGTATAAACATTTTTGCTTCTACAATTATGTTACACACGCAATGCCACATAAAACAAATATATGCAGTGTTTTGCGGCAGATTAGGTTATGAGTGGCTACGTAATACATAACCACTGTGGATGCCTTCTGGCTGTGGACCCGGGTTTTTGCCAAACATAGCCTTCTTCTTCAAATATACGGTATTATGTCCCAACAATTTCGCCCTCGCCAGCCCATCGTCGTAAATTTAGCTCCTCTTATGAGTTATGAGTCTCTCTTGACGAGAGGAAAATTGGTCGCACGAAGAACTAATGACACAAATAACACGAAGGACTAACGATTTATAAAAAAACACGTTTTGGTTTTTACTTGCTTGAGTTTGGCGCATTATGCGTTCTCTAGATAACAAAGCTGTTGCATAATATTGCGCAATATCGATAATAAATGTATTCTGATTGTTTGATCAGGTTTTAAATTTTGTTTTTAATTTTTAGCAAATAATTGTTGTCTTTGTGAAGCATATAAGATTTGATTTGCCCTATGCGTAAAAGGCGAAGCCAGACGTCCCTTACAGCGAAGGCGAGGAATATTTTTTCTTAGGCCATTTCCATCCTCAAGCTACTCTCATGTCTCTCTCGAGCCGGTGCAAGATAGTTAGTGTCGAACAAATGTCAGGGCTCACAGTCTGCCACATAATCTGTCTCATTTGGAGCTCACCTTCTCCGTGTATGTCGACAAACTGGTAGGCCTGCACGAGTCTCATCACCTCGTCCACGGAACGGCCCACGCCGATGTCGTTAACGATGATCTGTCGCAGCACGCCCTCCGTATCGATTATGAACAGACCTGGGCGAGGAGTCGGACACAGCAGTCAAAGAAAAATAACCGCCTTTCAAACGTGACGCCTTTTATGGATTCCACCGATGGTATAACGCCAATTTTTATGGTGAACACTGGAGTGATGAGTTGTCATTATTTTAATTTTCTGCAGCAGCCATAAACGGAGAATATATATTTGATAAGCTGCACTGCATTTGACTCAGCTCTGATCACCCATTCAAAAAATAATGTCAGGCAAAGGACTTATAACGCGTTTGTTGACTGATGTATAGTCAATTTCGGAAGGAGCTTGTCCACCGACCTCTGAACGGGTACCCGAGCTCCTCGTTGAGCACGCCGTAGGCGCGTGAGATGACCATGTTCTTGTCGGAGAGCAACGGGATATTCATGGGCCCCAGGCCGCCCTCCTTGCGAGGCGTGTTGATCCAGGCCAGGTGACAGAAGTGCGAGTCGGTCGAACACGCTATCACCTGAAATACGGTCATTCAATAACATGATTAAAACTTCAACTAAATATATATCAGTAAAATATAACACTTTAGATAAATAATGATAATGCATTTACAAGACACGCACTATAAAAGTCGCCAGGTGGATAAGCTATTTTAACCCTCGCATGTGTGCGGCGTTTGCCAGCTTCTAATGTGTAGGGGGGGGGGGGGGGGTCGGTTGGACCCCCCTTGCCGTTTGGCCCCTGATCGAGCTAGAGCTTCGCGGAAAAAACGAACGTGCTGCCCGTGACGAGAGGAAGCCGATGATACCCAATTTTAAGGTCCTAGGTCATTGGTTGACCTTCCAGGTCAGGTCAATGACCCAAAGTCGGGAAAATCGGGACCTGTTAGAAAGTCGTAGAGGGGTTTTTCGGGGTGCTGATCACGAATATCGTGTTAGTTTTGATCACAGATGATGTCTTTAAGCATTTAGACCAGGTCGGGTCAGGTCAGGTCAGGTCAACCAGTAGGCGTCGTGACGGGTATTCGTAGTACGTGTCAACCACCTCTGACAGCTTCGTAACATGTTACGAAGGCACCAAAACTACTTCGTAAATGTTCAAATGGTTGCTAAATTTGAATTCAGCTCCAAAAACTAGCCTAGAAACATGTACAGCTCGAAAAAGTGAACCGAGGTCACCCGAGGTCACCAAAGGTCAATGACCTGACCTGACCTTCAGATGACCTTGACACCCACCCTAATACATGGAAGCAACATCATATCACATGTTTGAGCGTTTGAAACCACGAAAAGCTTGCAAACGCGCGGCTAATGCGAGCCGACATACGCAGAATCGAGATTCCGGCCAAACATGGTCTCGGAAAAGAGGTCACAGGTCAAAGGTCATTTGGGTCAGGGTCATGAAATTTTCAGGGTAGGTGTAAAATTGATCAATGTGAGGGTACTGAAAGTTTCGTCGCGATCGGCTGCTTTTTACTCGAGTTATTCGCGAAAAACCATGGGGGGGGGGGTCCATCCGACCCCCCCTACACATGCGAGGGTTAATGTCCTATATTTTGTTCATTTATATCTTACCTCACAATTTATTTGACGGAATTTCCATGCTGCGTCGCTGAATGCCACGATCTCAGTGGGGCAGACGAATGTGAAGTCGAGAGGGTAGAAGAACAGAACCACGTACTGTCCTCGGTAGTCAGTCAGACAGATTTCCTGAAAATCGCCGTCAATGGCTGCCTGGCTTCTAAAAAAGGGAGCTTTCTGCAGGAGTTGCGGGTACGGCATCTTCACACAGCAGGCTGAAACGAAAGGTCAAACATGTAATACAACATGTAGTACAAGCTGATCAGCCTGACGTCTGGATCTTATGTGTTGTGATTGCATGTTCTGTGATTAGAAGAGATGTTTTAAGGTAGCAACATTTGAACAAAATGGCTCGTATCTTTATGACATAATAACCCTGCAAAAAAAGCGGGGAATGCCTGTGGGTGTATTTTAACTTTTCGTTTGGAAAAAGCTATGAATTTGAAAAGGAATCATCATCTGTCTCAGATTATATTCATTGTACGCTATGTCATCAGATATGATTAAGAAATTCTGATTAATCGAAAGTTTGGCATCAATGGAAAGAAACGTAAACGCAAAAGAACACAAGAATACAGACATCGCTTAGCCGATGCTGGATACCGCCTTTACAGGACCGCTTACAGCAAGACAGGCCCACTCACCTCTTCCACCTGCCCCACGACTGAAGACTGCACAGAGGACCTCGAACTGATCAGCCACCTGGATCCTCTGGACAGTCTACAGAAGCTGAGTGTATACCACCGTCAGAGGCCGGTCGAAGTCACCTGCGTGATCTGCTGGGGCGTGCGCGACGCAGGACAAACTCAGCGCTACACAAAGACGTCACGATAGGCCAACTTTGTCCACCTCCCACCGATTCGCCACGCTGCTCGGGACGGCGTGAGCAAGCGTCCTGCTGAGATCCAGGTTATTGTGATGACATAACCTCTAACTTCTAGTGGGATGAGCTAGGTGAAAATCCCAGCCTGGCATGGGGTGCGCCTTCCTTCCCACACACCGCGGGTGAAAGGTTTCGCCATCAACAGCCAGCCGAATATTCCATTTCTTTTTAGTTTATAGCCACCCAAGGTACCTCACTAGAGGATTTCTTCCTCTCCTGCCCGCTCGCCTCATGTAAAGCTGGAAATGCTGCCTACCGTAGGTAACAATTGTCCCTTGCGTGACCGCGCCAGCTGTTGACTTTCCTCTCGCACAAATGACTCGGCACTACGGCGCTGTTACAAGTAACAATGTTGTGTGCGTTTTCTGTATGGCGCTCGCTGACTCCACCAACCAAGCGCAAGTTTAGGTCGTGTACTTAAACGTTAACCGAGGAGTCGTGGATCTACTCACCAAAAACCCGACACTGATGAAGGCTGTGGGTCTCGAGCGTCGCTCACGTTACGTGTCTGTCTGGTGTCAAGCCTACTGATCCTAGTTTCACTTACTACTTTCTCTGCAGACATGCACTGTATGTATGTTTTCCAGCATTCAAAGAAAAAAGACGGACAGTCATCGAAAGGCGCTTGTTAACTTTATTTCAATAACACATGCATCCGAATTACTGCACACTCGCTGTAACAACTAAGGATGAACGTTAAACAGTACAGGTTGTGGGCACGTCGAATAGCTGACAAAAGAGACACAAGAAAGACGTTTGTGTCATTTTTGATTCTGCTATGACAGCGAGCTCTTTCAGCAAGCTTGATGAAAGCAAATGTATACGACGATTAATCGAACACTCATGTGCTCTAATGGTGTGACATCCCTTGTTAGCTGCCTACGATTGGTCACATCCGACGCTCGGGGCCAGCGTAACGTGTCCACTGACCCCTGGTCCGATCCTCCGACGCTCAGGGTCAGACTAACGCAGCTATTGACCTCAGGTCATCCGACGCTCAGGGTCAGGCTAACACAGCTACTGACCTCAGGTCAGGTCAAATACTCTCGATCAGACTAGCGTAGCCTCTAACCTCAGGTCATGTCCGACATTCGAGTCAGACCAGCGCAGTCATTGACCCCGGGTCAGGTCACATACTCAGGGTCACAGATCACAACCTACAGCTCAGGCTCATTCCCGCGCTGCAACACATCATATCACTGATCAGGTACCCTTGTTAGTTTATGAACTAGTCTGTAGTGAAGGCGGATCATTATCATGTAATCAGCAGCAGCGCTGAAGCATCACTGATATTTGTTAGTTGCGGATCCGGCCAGGAATGAAAGGCGAAGTCTTGACTGGACACTTGGACAGCAGGGACTCCGCTTAAAAACGCTCAAAATCGGCCTTGGTCAGCTGTTTGACTGTTGCTTTGTTCTTCTTAGCCGTCTTCCTTCCACCTGTGAAACAAAAGTTATACAATGCTTCAAAGATGAATGTGTGATCAAAATTTTGAGCACATATACATTGAACTTTTGGTAAATTGATCGATTTTTCAGTAAAGCAAGGCTAAACGCTAATCCAAATTTCGAGTTAACGCACGCAATACTTAACCCCACTTTGTTACGTTATGCCCCCCCCCCTCCCCCTGCATATATCAGAATCGACTCGGTCGCAATCGTGAGATATTTCCCGCCCGTTCTCGACCACTCACACTGCCCCAGTGTGAGATTGCGACATAGCTATCGAGGTTGAATCACCCCGGGTGAGCTTCCCTCCCCGCCGGCACCGGCACCAACTTCGGCGTACCTAATACGCCCCCAGCAAGCCTATATTAAAGACAAGCTGCACTTTGGTTCGTTAATTATTTGTAGAGCCTGCGATAGACAGCAAAAACCTGCACTTATCATCTAAGAGAAACAAGTGTCGACAAGAGTTCGTCATAAACTGGGGCGGCAAACAATGTTTGAATATATTTGTTTGTCTTTGTGGTGTAAAATTCATCCAAGCCAAAAAAAAAACTATTTATTCGACATTGCTGAATTTAATTGGATTTAAGTCTGCGTTATATTCTTGCTTGCAAAATCTTACCATAAGTGATAAGATCTGAAGGCTTGCCGCTGCCTGGCTTGTGCTTGTATCCTTTGCTGTCGGGGACATTGAATTTGACTCCCACGGTGTACTCTAATTCCTCAAGAGGAATGACGGTCGATGACACAGGCACCAGTTCTGCAAAAGAAGCAAAGTAGTTTTGTGAGTGCGATAACTAAAAATACCATCTTCCGTATAAGACATATTGCCCTCGTGCCACAGCGAAGGCTCTGTAATATGACATACGGAGCAACGGACGTAACAGATCGAACGACATCAAATTAGACGGACCACTTGAAAACATACAAATATATCGGTATGCACCATCAAGGACAGGTAACTAAATAATAACATTTTTAATTGTTTCCAGATGCATCAATTTTTGAGCCAGTATCTTCAAGGCTAAACGCTGCATTTAGGTTTTAGATGAGATTGAACTATGTTGCTGAGTGACTTCAAAAGCATTGATCGAATGCTAAAAAAAATTCACAATAGATTAACCTCATACCGTCAAACCAGTATTCAAACTTTGGCGTCCACAAGTCCCAATAATACATAGGTACCTGCACTGGATGATAGAAAAATAAACGCAAATATTGTCAAAAAGTGGGCTCATGATGTTGTCCACAGTGGCAAACTGCTTAGGAACTAGGCCACTTTTGACCGCTCGCTCATTTTTCTGGCTTTTTCCTGAGGCGCTGATATTCACACACACACACTGCTGCGGTACACTAGCATATGGACCATTTTGAAGCCTGTCCCGCGAGAGCTCGAGTCCAGATTCGTTGGGCGTCATGGAAATAAGTACCTAATGCTTGAGAACAATACGCATGTTTGTGTTTTGTGCCTGAACGTACAAACACCGATAAATTCCGGTAAAAATTTGATTATCTTTATCGAAGAAAGTGGTTCAAGACAACGAAGATTGCATTTGCATTCTCCGTAACATATGCTTTTCTTACATTCCCGTTAGTTAATGACATGCCTTTATCTGCCCTCTAAATTTCAAATTTACTCTTAATGCTCATTATAGCTCTGCAATCGCCCGAATCCGAATAGGTATTGTGATTTGTGTCACCGTTTATTTCATTACACCTTGGCAAACCCACGCATTCCTCGTAAACGGTGAATCATAATGGCGTGACGTCATGATGACAGCTGCGCTAACAACTTCCTCGGCAGGGCAAAAAATGTAATAAGCTTATATGGAGTTTTGGAATCGTGAGAAGATATGAGACACTTTCCACAAATGCCAACTTTACCACTTGTACAGACTACATTGAAGAGCGGTAGACGCCAGCAGTCCATGCGCAATATTCATTTTTTGCACATTTCAGGCTTGTTAATAGAGGCTTTGGCTCTAATTTTGCCAACTTTGAACATGTGATCATTTCTTACATCAATATCGATTGAAAAATGCACATAGAACCATTCGACTCCAACACATCTGGCGGCCGACACAAAGGCACAGAGCCTGCTCCCCGTGCGGCCTCTCACCGACAGAGCTCACAGATGCCTTACGTCACCCTCTCTCTCCCACTCACCCAATCTGTAGACATCGTCCTCCTTGGCGTACATGAAGGGTACTGCCAGCGAGGTGGCCACCAAACACAGGAACACCAAGCACCGCATCTTGTCCAGCTGAGAGGTCGCCGCCGGACGCTGGCAGAGATCACAGGTGGAGCGTCCGCTGCCGGCCGACACTGCACTCTCCGCGGCGACTCCCTCCCAAACCGGCCTGTGACCTCGGTGAAAGTGCTGAGTGCAGCGGCCGTGTGGGCAGCTAGACGGTCACGTGACCTTCACAGCCCCAAATGGGTAACGCTCCGGCGCTGCACGCAGCGTTACTTACCGGTGCATGGCTTGATTATAGCGCTCGGGTAAACGGTCATCATTGGTTCGATTGGCTTCCAATAATGACTGAAGACGGACACAGAGCAATGTTCAGTCTTTGCGTTATATTTGGTAAGGTTGGTAGAATTGCGACGTAGTTAAGTGTTCTTTCAGCACCTTTCTTTGTGCTAAAGAATATCTTTGTGCTAGGATAAGAGACTAGAACACAAAACTCGGATATTTTCATCCCACCTCACTGCATAGGTATGCGGGATATCGTCGTGGCCAAATGTTATAGCTAGTTCATCAGCGGACAGCGCTTGCACTATGTAGGGAAAGAAAGCTCGTCATGAATGGTGGTTCCTTGTGGTAGCAAAGGGTCCCGCTTACATCCGTCTCTCATATCTCTAAAATTCCATTACTGATGAACGCTATTCATTAGCTGAAATATACAATTAAAGGTAGTGTGCCACCTTTGAAAGATTTCCCATTTTATTTTTCCTAGGATAAGAAGCTTCTGTTTTTACCTAATATCGCAAAAAAAAATAAAAATGGGCCTGGAATAGTGCCTTTTTCGCCTAAAAGTTTTTCGGTTTTTAGATATGTATAACAACTGTAGTGGGCTCACCTGCAAACAGGCGTCGGGCAACAATCGCGAATGCGGCGCACTTGTGACAATAAGCAAAGGTCATTATAGTGTTACGACCATACGACGTACGGGAATGAGTTATCAGCTGTCTAATCGTAGACAACACAATGTCGAGCCTTAAACTGTAAGCCCGTATTGGTATTGTTTCTTTTATTTGGCTGTCGAACATTATTGATGGTTTGAAATATGATTTTATGTAAAATAATTGATATGAAAAAGCCGTCTTATAAGTTAGGACCCCATTTCACCACACGCAAGTGGCAGAAATGACAATGATCAGCTGACGCATTTTT